ACACAACATTTGAACATCACCTGGAATTTAAAATAGGCAAAAAGGCTCATCTAGAATAGCAGACCTACTCACTCCAAAAGATTACTTCTTCTTTTGAAAAATCTCCCACCTGTTTTAGTGAAATTAGGTGTATTAATTAATCACTTCAATAAATTATGTTCAGTAAAGAGTCATTATTGCACATCAAGCCTGTACTAAATTTCTTTTTACTGGTTCTTTCTGTTGTGTTTTTATGAAAATTATTTTTAACTTAGAAAGTGTTGCCAAGATGCAGTGTTTATTAACTATGTTTTCAGAGCTAAATCTGCAGGAACATTGCACATTTCCCATGTCTTTTTCTGACTCACCTTCCACAGAAGGGAGAAGAAAGAATTCCAAAGAGATGAAGAAACATCTGTAAGTAATGTGTTTATGGGAATTCAGTGCTGGATGGTTTAACATGCTTGTTTGTTATTGGTGAATCAGAGAAAAAAAAATGACAGTAGCATCTATCAACTTATATTATGCAAAATTTTAACGAAGGCAAGAGAAGTTATGCTGCTGATTTCAGCCATGTGCTATATTTGATAGCAACTGATAAAGGACGACAAAACAAAATCACTGAACTGTAAAAATGCCTTAATTCTTAAGGTAGTGAAGTGACTCTTCCTGTGAGCCAGTATAATGGCCAGAGAACATGAACTGAAAGGATTGCACAGAGTAAGCCTAACAATGACTTAAAACTCAATAATTCCCTATTGAGACCCAGAATACCAGGTGGTGCAGCAATAATATTGCTTGATTCTGAACTTGAATTTGAGTAACTAATGAAATATTTTATCTTGTGTAGGAAGTAAAATTCAGATTTCCTATTAGGGATGTGACTACACTTTCAATATCTTCAACATAACCAATGTGTGACAAAAGAGAGATCTTGTATCTATCTCAATGACCACTGACAGACATGATGCCCTTTGGTCTCAAAGTGCAAATAAACAAAGTACCTTAATAGGCTGAAGCCTGGTGGGTGTGGCTCAGCAGTTGAGCATCAACCCAGGAACCAAGAGGTCGCCAATTTGATTCCTGGTTTCTCTCATCAATGTTTCTATCTCTCTATCCCTCTTTCTCTAAAGATCAATAAAAATGTATTTTTAAAAAGAGATTGAAAACTAAGACAAACTATGCTGGGGGAAAAGTAAATAAAAATAATAGAGATCACAATGCTGAAAAGGGAAAAAAACTTATTAGATCTATATCCCTTTATAACTTATAGTAATAATATTTCCTCATTTCTATGCAACAGTGATTAATAAATTGAGGATAATATGGCTGATTAAATAATTATGCCTAATGCATGCCAAGGGAGGGAAGATTTCCCTAGACAGAGAGGGGAGGGATATAAAAATAGATACAACATCTGTAAAAGATTCATTCAGCATACAGTCTAAAGACATCAAGTAGAGTTATTAGCTCAGTAGTGAGGAAAATTAGATATTGACACAAAGTACCCGTATCAATCGTCTTATGCTAAATCTTCAAACATCTAATATATTTGCATGGAGCTTTCCTAAATCAAAGCCACTCTGTTATTCTTTGGTGAAAAATGTAATCTGAGTTTCAATGAATTTTTAAATTTTGTTCAATCTTCCATTTGTTCAACCAAAAACAATTTAAAGAGGACCAAGGCTATCAGCCTCACAGTGAGAAAGTGTAGCTCCTCACTAGGGAGCTCTTGAATCGGTCATAAAAATCAACAGTGGGCATCTGATAGTTTTAACTCCCTTGAAAAGTGAATCATCACATCAGATATTCTTCAGAGCCTCTTTGGTGTACTGTGACCTGTCATCTTGCCTCATTCTCTGCATTTCCATTTTAAATAATCATAAATAAGAAAGCCTTGCTACTCTTTGGCAGAGGATAGCTGTTTGAATTTCTAAGTGTTAGCAATTGCACTCATTCCTTCTTTAAATCCCAGGTTTTCAGCTGAAAGATTCTTTATTGTATTCAAATCTTGTCCCATACGAGTTGTTTCGGTTACTCAGTTTACGAAGAGTCTTAGAAATCGATCGGGGTCCACAGCAAAACACACCGACTGTTTTCCTGGGAAGGAAGAGGGAGAAAATGGAAAATCAGGTGGAAAATTTGGCAGAGCATAACAAGAAGTATGCTTTATGAGCATGTGCACGGTATTAACAAAGTTAATTTCCTGCTGCTTGGCCTACTAAAAACAATTTTTTTAGTTATTTCCAAATGTAGATGATCACCCGGAAGATATTTTATTTACCTCATGCGTTCCATACTAGAATTCAGGTTAAATTCAAAGAATGTAACTATGAGCACATATTTGCTTATTATTAGAGTGTGAGCAGTCTGCCTTAGCCTTTTCATTACACGCCACTGGTGAGGACAGAAACTATACCAACAGCAATAGTTGATGAATGTTCTTCCACACTAGATCATGTCGATGTTCTTTTATAGTTGTTTTATATATATTTTTCCTAAAGGTTCCATGAATTTGCATGGGCAGTGATGAATTTGAGAAGAGAAAGAAAACGCATGACCGATTTGAAAGGATAATTTTAAGTGACTGATTTATATCCACAGTGAAATAAAAATCATTAATCTGGATGCATTTTCTTTTTCATTTATGCACTGCAATAATTATAACAAATGCCAAGCAGCTTTTATTATTTGCTAACATAAAATTTTAGTAGATAAATTATACACATCCCTAATAAATAGTCTAAATAAATCCCAGAAAATGACAAATATTTCACAATAATCTTCTTCCATATTTGTTGACTTGCCGGAATTCTTCCTAGGACATGATTAACAATTCATATATCTTAGACAAATACAGTATGTCCTCACTGTCTGAAAATAATTGGTGCTGAAAAAAAAACAGTGAATTCATTTAAATGGGTACAAAAATTTATAACAAATACTGAAAAATGATTTCATTAAAAGTTCTCATCTTGAAAAATAAATCAAAGAACTATGAAAATTAAACTTTCCCTTGCAATTATGATTGAATAATAGGGACTAGATTTACCCTACAGGATTAAAAACCTAGGGGGAAAAAAGATATATGAAAAAAGTATTTGCAGAAACTGGACAATAGGTAGAAAAGAACAGTGAACCCCGAGAAAGAGAAAAAAGCAATGGGATCTAATAACTGTCTCTGCTTATTGTCTGGAGGCAAGCTACTGGCTGCAGCACTGATTAGTGGTCTCTCTGAGTTCAGGAGACAAACAACAACATTTGTGCAGGCCAAATTAGCTAGAATGTAGAGAAGAACATGGAAGGGAAGAGATATCTACAGAAAGAAGCTCTGGAGATCTATAGAGGATTATCTTTTAAGTGTTGGGTTCAATACTGATTTGCTCATGTCTGAGAAAAAGAAATCACATGTATCTCAGAAATGAA